AGCGAGGACCCTTGTCACTGCCAAAGCCACTTCCCCAGATGAGGCCTGGGTGGGGATGAAGAAGGGCGCTGCGTGAATGGAGGAAGGTGTGTGGTCACTGTCCTGGGCCCTGGGGCCAGGGTCCCAAAGCAGCTCCGATCCCCGGAGGGGAGAGCAAAGCTGATGGGAGAACATGATGGAGTCACTGGCCCAGGACTAGTCACACACGCCTGGGGTAAGAAGCGGCTAGTGTCCGGAGCCTGCAGGCCGCTCTGCGAAGGAGAGGGACGCAGCAGCAAGGAGGGAGAGTGGGCGTTGTGACGGCAGAAAAGGAGGGGGTCTTGAATGGGCTCCTGGTGTGAAGCATCCCAGACAGCGGGGTCCACCTCAGAAGGAGGCAAGGGGAAGGGCACTGGCAGGCAGAATAGGGGATGGTCCTCAGGTCAGGGTGAGGACCAGGATGGCGAGTGGACACTAGCCGCTTCTTACCCCAGGCGTGTGTGACTAGTCCTGGGCCACTTGTCTTCACTGATGCCAGTGACTCCATCATGTTCTCCCACTGGATGGAAGTGAATATGAGGGAAGGAGGAAAGCAGAGTCCCCAACTTTGTGAGGATGTCCCTTCCCATAAGGGGAACAGGGCACTGTGGAATGACCAAAAAGGAGAGGGTGAGAACTAGAGAGCCCCAGGCACAAACAAGGCCGTGTCTGTAAGGGTTGGCAGTAGGCCCCAGAACCCCGGAGGGCTGAAGGCGTAGCCTGGTGTCCAGGAGGAAGGAGACAGGCCGCCTGACACACGCACAGCTACCCTGGGTTCCCAGGGAGGGACGGCAGTGTCCGGTGATGGGGACCGGGCCTCCTTGGTTCTCTGCAGCCAGTCCTAAGAGTTGGAAAGGAGAACCAGAAGAGCTGGGGGCCAGGGGCCATTATGGACTCAGGGACAATCAATGACCCAGTGTCCCCCCGATGGTTCTTAGGATAAGGGCCCAGAAGCTTGTGAGGCTTAGGACATGTGCGAGCCCAGGGACCCATCTGACCACATTTAAAACAGGGTCCAGGCAGTCCCAAGGGACCCTTCCAAGGGCCAGTGGAACCAGGGACAGAGGCTGAGGCTGGACGGACGGCTTGAGCGAGCACCTGATATTTCTGCTTCCAGGCCTTCTCGTCTCTCCCGTCACACACCTTAAAGGCCACACCCAGAACCCCAGCTTGGGGAGTTAGGGGTCCCCTCTCGAGGCACCTTAGTTTGGCCTTAATATTGGGGAAACTCTGGGGAAGAGGCAGGTCGTTAGTGGTGGTCTCCATCTGGAGTGTCAAAGGCAGATAGTGCACTGTCATAAAGCCTTGGTCAGGGGTCTAAAAATGCTAGTTTTCATTCTTAACTTGGAGGACTTCCGGTAACTTCATAATTCATAGCCTTATGGGCTGCCTTTCAAGTCCTGCCATGAGGCAAGGAATGAGTTGGTTTCTACTAGTTACTCCTCCAGGCGAATCATCATCCCAGATGGGGCCCGATCAGGGGCCACTTCATGCCCATCGGATGGACGGGGGAGGTCTGATGAACCTCATCAGCATCATTTCTAGCTGGCTCCCAAACTCGCCTGCGCTCCTCAGGCAGGAGGGTGTGAGACAAGGTCACCGGGACACCATGGAAATCATATGATTGGGTCAGACACTGAAGCTCTTTGGAATATGTGGTGGGGCTTGAAGTATAGGGTCCAGGCCACTTTTCTACCTGTGAAAGATCTGACAAAGAGAAAGGCACAGGAACCCGGATGACAGCATCCACCCCAGCCACCTCGCATAGAGGGCAGAGATGCGGGTTGGGCAGTGGCAGCCCATGAGTGTGTGCCAAGAGAAGGATGGAGGGGCCGAGGGGACTTCATCAGAAAGAGGGTTGTGCCATGGTGGGGGCTCATCTGCTAGGTTGAAGGAGGAGGTGTCCTGGGTAGGATTTTCTGTCCCTTTGGAAGCAGGCGTAGGGTAGTGAGAGCTAAGAGGACTTGTGCAACAAGAGTTGCAGAGAGAGGGCTTAGAACATAGAAAGGAGAAGGCCTGAATGTATGATATCTCTTTCCATTTTCCTGAATGCTCACAATAGTTGAAAAGATCCCTGATAATATTGGGATCTAGAGTGCCATTAAGCCGCCATTTAGAGTCATTATCCAAAAGATATTGAGGCCACATCTGATTGCACAAGTGCATAAGTTTTGGGGGGGTTTAGGTCCAGGGTGAGAGAGAGCTCAAAACCCAGGACCCAAATAAAGATGACCTATAGACTCGGTTGACAGTAGGGATCAGCTGTAGCTGTGAAACTGTGGCTGGGGGTGCCCCAGACCACACAGTAACTCTGGGAGTGCCGAACATTTCAAGAATCCTTTAGGTTAACTGGAGACAGGTGTCTTATGTGCAATGTCCAGTGGTGGGTGCAGAGAGGTCATTTAGCAGAATGGAGGACCTGGTCCCATGATGGAATTCAAACTGGGGCCTAGGGATGCTTAGTGACCCTGAAAGAGGGGAGCAGGCACATTGGGGAACCCAATCCTGGGTTTCGGTACCAATGTAAGGAAAGTGAGGAACTGGGAGACAGGTGAGCAAGAAATGAAAGCAGAGACCAGGCAGAGACACAGAGCTGACAAATAAAGGCCATCTCTCCATAGATGGAGAGAGGCAAAACAGGCTTGGGTTTGGGACTTTCGTGGGGCAGGCTCAGGCATTAGAGCCAGGCCAGTCCTTATGCCAGTGGTGAAGGGTGGGGTTGGTATGAGGGAGAGGTGAGCCTTTCTCAGAAAAGCCCTTGGGTGGGAAAGCAAAATTTTTCTTAAAAGGGGGGCTGTCCTTTAAGGCGGCCTTCCAGATGCCAAGCAAGGACCTTACATAATGAAAAAAAAAGCTTCTTCAGAACCGTTTTTGGAATTATGGAATCAGAAACTGCAGACTGAGCTGCATAAACGCTCAGAGCACCTGGGCTCTGACCTCGGAGGCCCATGAGAAGGAATCGTGAGTGCTGTCAGGAAACCACTCTCTTTCCATGTACTCTTGTGCTCAGCTGTTCTGCTTTCTTCCCCTTTAAAGCTCAGAGCAGGACCCTGAAGGGCAGAGACCAGGACCCGGCCTTCCCTGACCACCCGAGTCAGGCTGTGGTTACCTAGGTGATGGAGTGGTTGCACAGGGAATGTCAGAGGCTTGGCAATAGGGCTGGTGGCCTGTGGCAGGCTGAGAAATTACCTGGCCCTCACAGTGGAAGGCAGTGGCCACCACAGGAATAAGGTCAGTCATAAAAGAGGTAAGCACTTGGGGCCAGGAGAATGGAAGCAAACTGAAGCCCAGTGGCCATTTCAGAGGAACAAGAGGACTGTGTTGAGCACTCCAGCTGCTGGTGAAACCATACAGCCAGGCAGCACCTCAGTAAGTCCAGAGCTCAGATGTCACACAATCCTAGAAGATGGTGGAAACAGCAGATTGGAGGGGCACCAAAGTGCCGACGAACAGGTGAATGTGGGCAGGAAGCACTGGCATGACTTCCAACTAGCTTTAAGAAGAGTGGCTCATTTTATGTTCTGAAGGAGCCGCCATCTGTTAACCTACTGAATGATTAGTTCACACTCAATGCTCACTGAATATGGAGTTGACTTAAAGTCTTTTCCAGAGTCACCAGGTAGGCACTGGAAACCACAGCGGCCAGTCCTGGTGTCAGACAGTGGGCCTCTGAGCCAGGGCTGAGGATGAATTTACAATCCAGACAGCTGTGCAGGGCCAGTGAGCAGGCCAGCCATCAAGAGGCCCGATGTTTCTGACCCTTGCTGCCATAGCTGCCCTCCTCTCTGAGTGGAACTGTGACATGACCACCTCTAGCAGCACTCTTACAAGCCATACAAGCCAGACTTCATAAATCCATCTGATGAGGAATATGAGAAGCAAAAAAGGCTTTAGCACGGATTTTCAAGCCTCATCAATGCTGAAGCCATATGAGACTGGTCACCAGAGTTTAAAATCTCATGGAGCGGGGAAAGGAGCCAGAAGCTTGAACTGACTTAAAATTCCTGCACAATTCCTCTGACACCTCTGCAGTGTTCCCTTGTGAGTCTTACCCAGTGGCGCAGCAGCAAGGAAGGTGTAGTAGCTTTGATTTTCGGTAGCCCAGAAGAAAGCACATTTTGAAAACAAATCCCTGTGCGGATGGTTTTGTCAACGCTGAGGAGCGCACAGGGCAGCTAAATCGAAGGGCTGAAGACCTTCTGCTGACAGCGCGGCGGTCCGACCTCCAGCCAGCCGGAGGGGGCAGGCGTCTCCCGGGGGCGCAGACTCCGCGCGGCTGAGGCTCGGGGCAGG